AATGGCTTCTCAGCAGACGCGGTTGCTGACCAAAATAACTCCCACTACCCTCCACAATTGCCGCCACTGGACAACAGCGGTCGATCGCTGCCATTAAATATCGCAGCCACATTGACCGCGCCCTTGCCTCATAGATTAATGCGAAGTCATAATCTATGTGTTGATCTAACGCCGTGCGACGTTGGGTGATGTCTGCTTTGCCATGCGTTTTCGCTTTCAGGTATGTTAATGAAGACCTAGTCATGGCGTTCACCCTGCTTGCAGTTGTATCCAACATATATATGCCGCTAAGGTGACAACGTAAGGAAACGGTATTAACTGTTATATTGTGATTTCTCGAATGGTCGAAATACTCAAATATGATTTTCAAATATACTCAAATATTTCAAATATACTCAAATATATTTTTACATCTGTTTTATTTATATTATTTTTATTCTTATGTTTGTTAATGAACATTGACGTTGAATAATGACAGAGCATGGGTCATTTGGCTGAGTAGACTTTGGATTCATAAGCTAGAACAATTCACGATGAATTTTGTAGCTGCATAGATTGTTAGTGTTTAGTATCAAGTCTATTTCTGGGCGTGAATAGAAAAATAGATGGTCATCACCATGTAGTCTGGCTCGGGAATGCTGCAGACCGTTAGAAGAACTGATCTTAGGCGCGAAGATCTTGATTGTGCCTAGGTTCATTTTACCTGCAATGTACGAACATGTACACGCCAAATGCTTCGAGCGCCCGAATGTCTCCCTCCCATCCTCTCTCTATCACCTTTCTCTCTACTCTTTCTCGCTCTCTCCCTTGCCTCTCTCTTTCTCTCTTCTCTTCTCTTCGCCCTCTCTCTTATACCATGCGCCGCATGCACGCACGCACGCAAACATGGCAGGAAACACGACACGTGTGGTTACTGTCTATCTCCATCTATATCTAAATTACATTTATTTCCCCCATCTCTTTCCATCTCTCTCTCTCTCTCTCTCTTCTACCCTACCTCTCCTCATCCTCTCTCTCTCTACTCATCTCATCACTCACTCACTCACTCACTCACTCACTCACTCACTCACTCACTCACTCACTCACTCACTCACTCACTCACTCACTCACACACTCACACACTCACACACTCACACACTCACACACTCACTCACTCACTCACTCACTCACACACTCACTCACTCACTCACTCACTCACTCACTCACTCACTCACTCACTCACTCACTCTCACTCACCCAAAGGCACGCACGCACGCACGCACTCACTAATTTACTCACTTACTCATTGGACAGTTATCTGGTTAGTACCTAATGTTTTCCTAATCAGATAGAGTTGGTCAACATCGGACTTCCCGGGCCAGAGCGGTTGACCAGTGAGCAGTTCCGCAAACACGCAGCCGATAGCCCACACGTCGACCGGTGGACCGTACTGCGTCTCACCGACGAGAAGCTCAGGTCCCCGGTACCATCGTGTGGCTACGTAATCCGTGTAGTCAGCGGAAGGACCAGCTGTAAGGCCACACACAACGTTTCACGTACTGCGTATGATCAGTAACAGGTCAGCCGCACACGCATGAATAAAAATAATAATATGTTTGCCCATAACCTATTAACACAACATTAAAGGTGTGGTTTTCCGATTGGCAGTTAAACTCTGGCAGGCCAAAACCTCGCTGATTGGGTGGTTTCCTCGGCTTTACGCAGGAAAACGACAAAGGACAGTTTAACAACCACGCCTGCTCTAACAGGGCATGCTGCGATTTCTGGAAATCATATCGAATAAGCCCATCCAGGGTTAATCCGCCGAACCACATTCACGAGAAAAGCGGAGAGAAAAGCTCCTACAAAACTAGATAAGGAAAAATCGTCCATCTATATCATCATTATCTATTTTTATATCTATCATTCTAATATAATTTTAGGTTCCCGTGTAAACAACGAGGGCTCACTTAGAATGCGCGCGAAGCCAAAGTCACACAGCTTGATAACGCCATTCCTCGTGATGAGAATGTTCTCTGGCTTCACATCACGATGAATGCACTGCGGAAATAAACACACACACGTAATTATTACACGCGGTGTTTACATACGTTTTATACACACACACAAACCTATAACGTGTAAGGTTATAACGTATAACGTTCGTGAGGCGCAAATCCTTAACGTGAATCATGTTTTCCTATATCCACCACATATTGTTGCCTGATGCAGGGGCTACGGTCCCCGACGGGGTGGGGAGGCGAAAGGCTACTTAAAACTTTTGTTCAAATTTGAAGGTCTGTAATCGTTACGTTTAGACTTTACGTTTTTTATCAGGATTTATTTGCGATATCTACCTACGACTCCTGAAATATTGTATTATATGATGTACAGGTAAATCAGCTCTTCATCTTGCTGATCGTTTTCACACGCTACTACGACAGGTACAGCACTACAGGTGACGAGCGAGTGTAATTATCTCCGCCAAGGACGTTGTTTTCGCCCCTGTTAGTTTGTTGGTTTGTTGGTTTGTCTGTCAACAGGATATCTCAAAAAGTTACGGACGGATTTTGATGAAATTTTCTGGACGGGTTGGTCTTGGGCCAACAACCAATCGATTAGATTTTGGTGGTGATCCGGTTCCAGATCTGGATCCGGGGGTTTAAAAGAAAAATTACAATTTTTTTTGTGGGGAACACTTCAGACTTTTTTTCTAATTTCTGAAAATTTCATCAAACTATATTCGGTGTACCAGCAAGATGGGGGGCACTGTTACGCTGTGGCGGAGGCTTGCTATCTCCGATTGCTCTCCAACAAGTAATCGATATTTTTCCTAACATGGGTGAGCTGATTACGCTCCTTATCAGGAAGATGCATTACCACCTACCGTTAGAGCTTACAGGTTATTGTAATAGCAACACGCACGCTAGGAAGCTAATGCGTCTCCCGGTGGCCATAAAAGACAGAGTCAGGATGTGGCGCGTGTACTCATGCGCCCGCGTCTATTTACTCTCCCGCGCGCACGTGTACGCACGTGTGTATGCCCGCACGCAATGTATGTACGCGCAGGCGTGTAGTGCACGTACGCGTGTGTGTGTACGCACGCGCGTACTTGCACGCGCGCTAATGCGTGCGCGTACGCCTTACAATCTGCTCAAAATCCACGTTTCAAAATTCGTAACAGAATGCTGCACATTTACTACGAGTACATACATTTTACTAATTACGGCGATTGAACGCGCCTCGTTTGCCAGTAAAAACCGCACTCGCTCTTTTAAAATATTGTGTGAGAGCGAATTTTCGTTTCGTATTTCAGATAATAATGTGTGTGCGAGCGTGCGTGTGCGTGCGTGCGTGTGTTACATTAGATGTGTCTGTGAGGCGATTATGCATGTAACGGATAAGTGCGGGGTTTGTGGCGGAAACCGACGAATTTTGAGTTATTATTCGACATCCATTAATGGATCTTCTATTTGCTGCTAGTAAGCTTTACAGTAAAAGCTTTCCGCTGTAGGAGCGTAGCGTAAAAGCTTCGCCACACACAATCATATCGCGCGACGCGCATGTGTATGTGCTTGCGTGTGTGTGGGTGGTGCGCCCACAGGCACTTGGGACAGAGTCAGTAAAAACTGAAAATAATATGAACGCACATTCACAAATACTACCGTACGGTGTACCTCTCAATTACTGTTCCACTGTTGTGTACCTGCATGTATATCAACTTTCCTTCATAAAAACTAACGCCGAACGCTCCCGCACTCGCCGCTGCGAGTGTGCTGTGTCGCTATGATAATGATAATAACATATAATATCAGGAGTCTATCAATAGATTGATAGATTCCTGATAATATCAAGAGCGTATAAAGAAGGAGAGCGTACAACGGTGAAATCCTGAAACCATGTTGCAGTATTAGTCGAATTAATAAACTTTCCCCGTTTTATTTTGACGATTCTTTGCAGTATTATTAATCAGCTGTCCTACCTTGTTAATATAAAATAAACCGCATGTCCCTACGATGCCTCTACGCTGAGATAATGAGCGGTGAAAATCTGGTATTTTCGCCGAAAACCGACTCCATATCAGTCAGTACTGCGACTGTCTCTCGTTTTGTGCACTGTATGTTGCTTCCGGTCGCCGCTGTGTAGCGCTGACTCGATACGTTATTACTACAGCGTTACTACATCCAGCGTAAGGGGCGGGTCATCACCATGGCGATATATAACAAGACGTTTTTGTGGAGTAATGGCTGCGTCAATGACTGGAAATGCGAGAAAAGATAGTAGAAGGAAAATAAATTTCATTGTCAATGAATGACGGAAACACGCGAGGTTTCCCGAGGAGCGTTCGGCATTCGTTTTTATGAAGGAAAGTTGATATACAGTGACACAACAGTGGAACTGTTATTGAGAGATATATCTCAAATAACATCTCTCGTGCTGTATAAATATGTGTATTTATATATTATATCAGTGAATAATAATAGACACGTGCAAGGGAGGACGGATGAACCGGCGGACGGACAGGCAGATAGACAGACGGGTGGCGAGTGCATGGACTGACGGAAAAATGAGAGAATGAGTGGAGAGAATTGACGGTAGAAATTAACATATATAAACGTATGCACGAGGGCGTGTGTATTTACCGTACTGCGATGCAGCTCTGCGATCATTTACATCATAAAGACAGTTTATCTGAAGCGCGCGTGTAAAGCTCAGGTACAGAGTTAGGGCGAATGCCGTCCAATCATAGTTAGTAGAGGGACCACCTACTAACTATGGTCCAATGTAAGCGACGTGAACCCAGTGAAGACACTAATCAATATACCGACCAGCCAAGATGGATACGCTTTACAAATGACACTCGGTGTTTACCCACCTGCCACGACAGCAATGACCACAAGGAATAACAGACACGCAACTGCTATACAACTCACGTATTTCACACGCATTAATAATGATGTGGAGGGCGGTACCGCCGGGGCCGTAAGAATTAACGATACATAATCGCAAGGGATCTGTCACGTATAATATATGATATTTTCTTTGGGCATTATTGAGGCGCATAGTCATGCATTTATTCGGCCGAGGTGACGGAGTACACTATGACTCGCTGCTCATCGCACAATCTAGGTACGATCTATATGTATTCAATACAACCGAATACAGTTAGCGTGCATTCTATGACTTACACAGGTAGAGCCATAATATGTCTCTCTACTTTTATTATACATATTATCATTAATAGATGATCTACAACCCCTGATATTATCAAGAGCTAATATAACACCATTATTATCTCTGATAGTATACGATTATTAGTATGATTAGCCCTTGATATTATTAATGTTATACACGCAGGGCGGCTCAAATGCCCTTAATTTATTATAAATATGAACAATATTACAACAATAATCCCCACTTTTATATTACATATTATCAATACTACACACGTAACGTAATCAAACGCCTCGATCTACACTGTATATTTTAAATTTTATACAAGCAGAGCAATCAAATAGCGTACTGCATATTTACCAGGCATAAATTACCAGGCATAAATTACCAGGCAATATTACCAGGAGTAAATTCACATGTTAATGTGCGCGTGTACGTCAGCAGATTCTTTATAGCTTTCCATTAAAGGGACTACGTCACGAATTTTCTATAATAAAATTTGTAAAAAAAAAATTGCCATTTTTTTACATTAAAAGTAAGAACTAACGTTACTAAATATATCCTCAAACTCTCACCTGATAAAAATGTTTTTACGTTGGTTAAATTTGCAAAAATCTAGACGATTTGGTAATTTCTGTTGTCTAACACTATTCCCCCAGTACTGTTCAGATACTGGCGTCTCTCTGTTTTTCACCGGCAAATTAGGGCATATAAAAAAGGTATATAATCATAAAAAGTAAACAGAAACACTAATTGTATTTTCATACATTTTAGTTTGTACAAATAACACACAAATGTACTACTTGATGGTGCTAGAAATTCGTGACGTAATCACTTTAAAACACGCGCCGCGGAATGCGAGAATAGCTTTTGATGGTGTATTATTTTTACGCAAATATCATGGGATAATTAACGTCGAAAATAATCGTCACATTAGGAAGATTTGAACCTATATAGCACTATAGTATTAAACTGTATTTTCTGCCTCTTCACTGCCTAGAACGATTTATACGATAATGTACAATGTAATGTATACGTGTAGTCAATGCATATACGACATAACCGCGGATTGATTAAAAAAAGCAGCACGAATCTAGTTGTATGAGCATGGGATCGGGGGTCATCCGAGGTTTATCAGGTCTGAAATGCGGGCATCATCGCCAAAGCTCGCGTCTAATAATATACGTAATAATAATAATAATAAATATAATAATAATAATAAGTATAATATACTACATACAGTATTCCCCGAGGCCTCAAGTGAATGTGCATCATGTTCATTGCCGGAAACGATGGAAAGTGTGGTATAAGTGCTGCAGGTACCCCCGCCCTGGGTAAACGGGAATATACCTTGACGACTATTTTGCTTATATCTTTGACTTTTTTCTTAAAATGCCTGAAATTTGTAGTGTTTTCGCGACTAAGGTAATTGCCATATCAAATGAATCCGGATTTTAGTTTTTAATGCATTTTTTAATACATAAACAAGCATACTATCTCTCACGAATCTCATTAAACCACTCTGCAACCAGCTAGTATGCTTGAGAAACTGTTTGCTATAACGCTGTGTGTTACCTGTTGTGGTTTCTATAATTGTTAGTTTAATACACTTATGGAGTTCTTTTTTATACATGCAAAAGTGGTGGCGATGGCCCACATAGCATTACACAAGTATCGTAACATTGACACAGTTTAATTATATTATTAACTAAACCGCATCGGAACGCTGCAGACAGCTCCAGTTTTTTTAAATTTCTCACTGCTTTTCAATTATGCGCATTGCTAGAAAATAACTCATTCGCATTGCTCGGAAATACTAAATTAATCCAACTATTTGAGATAGAGCCTAAAATTATCTATGGCATCCCGATCATATTACACAGTTACGTAAAACTACAACCGCAAACCCTGGTTTGGAACAGATTTATATTACTTTTCATTGATATATGTAACAGTTTCTAAAATGCTAGCTTGCAATTTCAACTGCAGCCTATTGCTTTGGCTACCTTGAAAATTGAACGTGTAATGCTGTGGCCATTCTTTTGTCAATATCTGGCTGGAAAATATATTTATGAATCAATGGATTTCTATAAATAGAAAGCACTGTTGAGAGTGAACACAACATGCAGCTACCTTAGACTTACACGTTATATAAGCCGGCGTGGAGACGTTACCTGGCTTCACACAGGCTACCACAGCCTAATCCCATTTGCTATAAACTTGATCAATTTTCTACCATGCACTTTGGTTCAATAACATGCTGTGATTAACATGATGGCTTCATCATTGGAGTGGTTGAATCCCACTCGCTTGATTGAAGACATCAACCAGGGATATTTACAATTACGTTTAAATAAGTTAGTACCGTAACACCCATTTAGGAATCGGGACAATTAATACACGGGAAAACCGGAAGCCAATTTATACGCAGAGAATCCAGTGCAAAGAATTAGGGGCGAAGAGCGGTGATGAAGAAAGATTATTCCCATGGTTTCGACGGGTACCACTCCCGAATACTAAGGTTATGAAGATGTTCGGCTTAGATGGACAGCACTCATGAATATTGGCGTTATGTAGACCAAACGGTCAGCTTAGACAGGCACTATAGTTAAGAATACTTACGTTATGCTGGTGGCAGAAACTAATGGCGTGAATGACTTGCCAAATATACTTCTTCGTCAGAACCTCTGGCACCCTAGCAGGAAAATAGGAGCAAGCTAATTACGCGAGGAAACAGGTGTAACAACTACAGATGCGGCTCGTTACGGTAGGAAAAAAAGTCCACCTACTAGCTGTGTGTTACTACAAGAACGCAAAAAAATTACCAACTAGGTTCCATACGAGAATAAATACGTAGTTTTTCATATCTTAATTGTAGATCACGTCTACTTTGAGCGAGATACATTTCTACGTGAGACTCTATGAGTCACTAGGAGACTAGTAGGATTATTACGTATTCCAAATGCTAAAGCATGAAAGTGCTGTAATGCACACCTCTGCGTTCATCGAGTGGATCAACTGGTGATCATATATATCTTCACCAAGTCATCACACAGACACAAGAACCACATGCACTAATTGTCTCTATCCTGCCAGTCCCACAGCATAGCTACCACACAGACACTAAACAGCATCACCAATTATCTCCCCATCCCCCCCCCGCGTACATCCCCCACCACACAGATACATCACATCAAGAGCTCATAATGCTCAATCTCTATTATGAGCTCTTGATCACATCACCACCCCACCTACTATCTCCCCTCCCCCTATACAGCCTTTACACAACCATGTCACAACACCATCCACTCATTATCTCCTTCTTCCGCATGTACAGCCACTACACAGCCATGTCACAGCACCACCAACCCATTGTCTCCTTCTTCCCCATGCGCAGCCACTACACCGCATGTCACAGCACCACCCACCCATTATCCCCCTCCCCAGCAGAGCTGCCGAAGAGGCACGACACAGCATCATACACCCAGCCACCCACTAACCCTCCTTCCTTGCATATAGCCATATCAATTATACGTGTAAACAAGCTGCGTACTTCGATGTCGATATTTAATCAAAGTGAACGTGCTTAATTAAAAAGCACAGCGTCACTACCTGGTCATATGATATAGATGTGCAAGCAGTCGAACTGCACTTAGAATGCCTGGCCACTTAATTGCACTCAGAACATGGTGTCCTATTCCCCACAGCGGACAATACGATATTGCCAGTACTTGTATGACTACCCATTACTGTCACCAATAAACAAGAGGAAACAGCGAGTCACTGCGACGACATGCTTAGTCTTGGTCAATTCCTAGCCGGGCGTTCTTTTAATGCCACAGGGAGATAACCGCGACCTTATTACGATATAGGCCCTACTGTATACGTACGCCACATTTTTCGCGTACAGATATTTTCGCGAATTCAGATTTGACGGACAATTTCGCGAATGGTTAATTTCGCGGTCGGTGAATTATGAATTATCGGTATTATTCGGTATGAATTATTCGCATGTTGTTATTTTCGCGGTCGGGAACGCGTTCGCGAAATTCGCGTAAATTAAACCACCGCGAAATATACAGCGTATACAGTAGTAGTTTATATATTAGTCTGTAGAGGTGGACAAACATCTTGAACAATCACACGTATTATGTTTGTGAACAAACTAGTCTAGTCTACATTATTCTCACAATATTTCTGCTGCCGACATCTATTTTAGATTTGTGTTAACACGTTCCCTGTAAAAAGTTGTATTTCTAAAATTATGAAGAAAATAATTTTTCGATGACTTTTCGATAATTTCATTATTTTTAGTATAATAAATCCATATATTTTCCATTGTATGGCTAGACATACACACAGACAGATATGGTTTGATTGCCGCTGGCCCGAGACATATATAGAGCCCGTAGAATTATAACATGGTTGTATTTTAATAATTATATCTAATATCAAGTCTTTGGGAAATCTGGCACGATTCGAATAAGCTAGATGATCAATATATTATGCATGGACTCCCTTTGCTTCTTCTTCAGCTATCCCCCGGAGCACCAGTCGGCAGCAGATCATTACCGAGAAAGCCAGCAGCATAACATAACATTTACAGACGTGTGATGCTTGTCGGGTTGTCGGTCGCCTACACATTGGTGGTAGCCATTACGCGAGTGTGTACGCATGTATGTGCTCGCACACGCACACATGCACGAACACGCCAGATTTCTTCGCACACTCGTTGCATGATATGCTTTCCCTCTCCGCATATGTAGTTATGAATTTATCTGTCATTTTACGCGCGACTAGTCGTCCTTTCGCATCTCAAAATTTGCAAACGAAACACACCCGTGCGCGCAACATTCTACAAGACGCCAAGCCTGCTCATTGAGCCAAGTACTCTTCCCAGAGATACGATAATAACACACACAATGGGATGCAGGTCTCTGCGCAAGGGTCGGGTACTACTCCCAGACGAATCAGAAAACGGAAAAGATAAAGAATAAGAAGAAGACGACGACGACGAAAAACGACAAAAGGGACGACTAACTACAGTTTTACCTTCGCCAGCTATATCCGAAGCTGTATGACACATCCATGCTGCACAGTGTGTGCACACTGTGTGACTATGTGTGACTAGGTCGATTCAGAGCAGGGGCGTGCGACAATTAATCAGAGCACACAATTAAGACCCTGTGCAGTGTTCCATGCCGCTAGCGCTGTTTTTCTCATCACCTTACCTATTAGCGCGATGCGTGCATTTGACACACGCATGTAAGCGATTGCGAGATAAACATCTGCGCAGGGAAATAGCAGATACAAGATCTCAAGTTTCAAGCTCTTAGTGCGAGTGGCAGCTAGGCTTCTCATATTTAGGCTTGGGTCAGATGATAGTTGTGACTTGTGGGCATTACAGTAATGTGTTATGATGTTATCGGTACCTTATCTGTCATTATGTACCATGTCTTCCCTGTCATATTGATATATATAGTCTAAACTGCTTTTGGAGTCATACGTACTTTTTTCTCTGCAGTTGGGTTACACATATGCGATGATAGTTCATTGGGTGTATTGGTGTGTGAGTGGTAGTGATGATGGGCCAGTGGGATGGGAAATAGATGGATCGGGGTGATTTATCACAAGATACTTTTATCGCACAATTATAGCGTACAATTAACACACTACTGGCACAATAAAGACACCGATAGCACACTACTGCCACAATTAAGACACCTATAGCATACAACTAACACACTACTGGCACAATAAAGACACATATAGCACACAACTGACACAATTATATAGCACGCAGTTAAGGCACCAATAGCATAATAAGATACCTACCCTCTCTGATACCTATCGAGTTCGTTTAGCAATGTCTGCTCGCAGTATTCAAACACAAGGTGGAGTCGCCGCTTCCGCCGAAAGACTTCTAATAAATTCACTAAGTTTATGTGTTTCAGTTGCTGAAAACAATAAGAGAAAAACATATACAAGTGAATGAATACATAACGATTCTGTTAAACGATTCTAAAACTGCGTAAAACGCGTTTCTTCTCGAAGAGAATATTTACCACAGCAATCACTTTAGTTACCGTGACGCCCAGTCACCCAGCCAACCCTTAAACCTTTTTGGTTCTCACAATGTTTTAACGTAGTTGACTGTTCATAAATTAATATAAGAAAATAGAGAAGGTAAATTTGCAGGAAGGAAAAGATCGGGGAAATGAAGGAGGGGGAATGTTAGAAGCATAGAGAAGGAAGAAGTTCGGAGCGGAAGCTAGAAAGTGAAAGAGCTGGACGACTTACTACTCTATTTCCAACCTACAATTTACTACAACCTACAACTGCAATTGTCCATAAACGTTGCGGAAAAGTTACTCGCCCACTGGGGAAATTACCGTGTAAGATTAGTCGTTATTTGTAGTCGATAAGCAGCTAGAATACACGTAGTAATGGGAACGGGCACAGGTGGTACAATAAGACGGACCCGTGGAACTGAACGATTATTTAAAAAGACATCAGTTCCTGCGGCTCTGTAGGCCTGCACCGTATACGAATCAATGTTTGGTTAGACGTAGAGACATTACTCATTTAACAGAGTGACATCGACTTAAGTATGTAATCCGATATAACCATTAATTTCGGTGCCACTGCGAAGTTGTGATCCCCTTAGCATAAACCGAGGTATAGACAGACATCCGTTCATGAGTGTAGTAACTATCATGTTCTTTCACCATTGAATGAAGCTGCATTTTGACTGCTGCTTTTTCATAAAATGAACACGTACAAATTTATGACTCGCATTAAAAATCATTCCTCAAAACGCTCGTACACTATAGCTAGACCGTTAATCTTAGTACTTACTCGAGCATGTATTTCCGGTACAGCCGGATCATGTGAAGAACACGACAGAATCTCACAATATTGAAGGTAATCGCGACCGACCGACCGACCGACCGACCGACCGACCGACCGACCGACCGACCGACCGACCGACCGACCGACCGACCGACCGACCGACCGACCGACCGACCGACCGACCGACCGACCGACCGACCGACCGACCGACCGACCGACCGACCGACCGACCGACCGACCGACCGACTGACTGACTGCCTGACTGACTGAGTGCCTGACTGGATTGCTGTCCGACCGACCAACCGACCGACCGACTCGCGGAGTGACTGACTGCCTGCCTTACTGGATTGCTGGCTGACTGTGCGACTGACTGATTGACTGACTGGATTGCTGGCAGGCTGACTGCCTGGCAGGCCTATTTACACGATGCGTCCTAGTCTAGGACGTACGTCCAAAACGCACCGTGTATGACAATGCAAACGCAATGTCAGAAGAAATTTGAACATCCGTCCTGTGCATCCGATATCGCAAGGGTCATAAAAGCGTGTCGTACCGCATAGTTTACACGGTGCGTTTTAGACGTATGCGTCTGACGTACGTCAAAGGCGTACGTCTAGGACGCATCGTCTAAATAGGCCTTCATGATGGCCGCCACATGTGTTATTATCTACTCTTGATATTATCACTAGCTTACAAATACATGTAGCTATATACGGATGACTTTATTACTTATTGAATACCCAGATGAGAGACCGGATACCAGAGAAGAGTCGCTTGAGAGGTGTTGATCCTGCCCGCTAAGCGCGGATCTTGCGCGCAGTTCCGCGGCAAGGCGCACGCGACCGCGGGAACGTCCTACGAAAGTATCACGCGCTGGCAGCTATTGATCCGTGCGCCAAATCGAAAGGCCGGCGCACGGATCAATTGCTGCCAGCAAACAGTCTCGAATTTTAGCGGGTCTAATTCACTAGCAAACATATATGCACACGCCATCGCGCAAGCCTAATAGCGATGTTTCACGTGACGTCATAGATCAGGTCACGTGTATTTGTTATGTGTTGTGGTTGGCAGAAGCGAAGCGTGCTGCTTGACATTTACAGATGAATGAACACATGTTCTGATAGAAAGCGCTGTTTATGTAGTGCACGTACACGTGCGTGCTGCGTGCGTGCGTGCGTGTGCACGTACACGTGCGTGCATGCGTGCGTGCGTGCGTGTGCACGTACACGTGCGTGCATGCGTGCGTGTGAACTTACACGTGCGTGCGTGCGTGCGTGCGTGGGCACGTACACGTGCGTGCATGCGTGCGTGAATGCGTGCGTGCGTGCGTGCATGCGTGCGTGCGCGCTTGTGCATGTGAACGTATACGTGCGTGCGTGCGTGTGCACGTACACGTGCGTGCATGAGTGTGCGTGCGCACGTACACGTGCGTGCGTGCGTGAGTGTGTGCATGCGCGCGCGCGTGTGCACGTACATGTGCGTGCGTGCGTCCGTGTGTGTGCACGTACACGTGCGTGCAAGCATGCGTGCGTGCGCACGTACACGTGCGTGCATGAGTGTGTGTGTGCACGTACACGTGCGTGCATGCGTGCGTGCGCACGTACACGTGCGTGCATGAGTGTGTGTGTGCACGTACACGTGCGTGCATGCGTGCGTGCGTGCGCTTGTATCGAACAATATCACGCATCTCATTGCTACCAACCGTTAAACTCCGCATGTGCGCATATAACGTCAATGATAAACATGTGTAACGAACTTGCCTTTTTGCCGACAAGACGTTATCCCGGGCCTGATGTTCGGACCGGGTACAATTCCTTGACAGGAACGACCACTGGACTAACGGAATCCACACGCAACTCATAAGACGCAAAGACAACGTAACGGTGTTCACACCGGGGCTTTTATTACACACTTGACCATCAGGCTAGCGGCAGATAAAACACACCCCGTGATCATACGTGACTTTGTGCTGAAGGCCCGAATACAGTAGTGAGCAGTGCTTAGCTAATCGGCTACACTCTACATGATCAGCTAGCAGGGCGGGCAAGCCACCAGCAGCTAGAGATCAGTGGGAGGGTGAAAGCTTCATTGCTAATGCTCACCACGCGGCGTGTTCCTCGTCTTGCGTTCTGTGTTCTGTAGTCAGAAAGGAGCCAGCAAGCGGCGTGATCCTCGTCCTGCGCTGTGTATCCTGGAGTCAGGAAGGAGGCAGCAAGCGGCGTGATCCTCGTTCTGCGCTGTGTATCCTGGAGTCAAGGAGAAGGCAGCAAGCGGCATAATCCTCGTCCTGCGTAGACGTCTGACTGAGCTCCGCTACACCCTACATGCTCAGCTAGCAGGGCGGACAAGCCACCAGCAGCTAGAGAGCAGTGAGAGGGTGCGAGCTTCCCTGACTGAGCCGAGCTGGCTCCGCGCTGTGTATCCTTGCGTCAGGAAGGGGGCAGCAAGCGGCGTGATCCTCGTCCTGCGCTGTGTATCCTTGCGTAGACTTCTGACCGAGCTCCGCTACACCCTACATGGTCAGCTAGCAGGATGGACAAGCCACCAGCAGCTAGAGAGCAGTAGGAGGGTGCGAGCTTCCCTGACTGAGCCAAGATGGCTCTGTGTTGCTTTGGAGCTGGACGCCGCAGCTTATATACAGCCGTGGGACACCACGTGGTCACTGTCATGTCATGACCTGCAGGTGTCCCGTCCAATTAAACTATAGGTCAAGTGGTGCAGCATGGTTTTCCTTTCCAATCCGCTGCTAGCCCACGTGGCTACGAAGCCGTACGTCTTCAAGGTTGAAGTAATGCTGACGCATGCTATAGTGTATGTTGTACAGCGGGTCGAATTCGCTACACATGAAACATCGCTATTGCATGAGAATCACTGAAGAACTGCTCCGTCAATCACGCGAAACGCAAGAGAAATTCAACGACGGCAAAATATACAGCTGTGCCTGCATAGATCCCAAATCCCATTGGTTGATACAAATCACGTACCTCAAACTCCTGTTTATGGTGCATTGTGACCCTAACCCTAACCCTAACCCTATAAACCCAAAAAAATTATTTGTTGTTATTAAATTGTTGTAAATAAATCATGTAAATATGGATAAACATAGAAAAATACAGAAAACAGGAAAATAATGAAAAAACAGATGGGGTTCGATCCAACGACATTTCAGCCGTGTCGTCTCTGCTCTAGGCGTTCAGCTATTGAGGCATTGGGTTTTTGTGTTATGAATCTGCCTTGACAACACTATGGCGTCATTGAGGAGTTTGAGGCACGTGATTTGTATCAACCAATGGGAATTCTGAGGGCCACGTCACCGAGTAAACATCGTAAGTGGCATGCGGTGGGCGTAGGCATTGAGGTAATTAGGGTTATTTAAGTTTTATTATAGTTTTTCGTGCGCTTTTAAATGCCAACAATTTTCAACGATGCTACGATAACATGCTTACCAGCAAACGCTGCGTCAAGTCAGTCACTGTTGCCCACGAATTCAGATTAGACGAATTCCCATGTGAAATTCCCATATGTAATTCCCTGTTTTGTATTAAATTGCCAGTAGGGGAAGCGTGCCGCTGCATATAAGAACTCAAACCTTCGGTTTGCACAAGGACGGGCCGTCCGGGGGCACCACTAGTCAAGTAATAAAATATATATTGTACACATGCAGTTTACACGAACGTAGCTGCACATGACAGTAGCAATACTTGGGCCTGCAATAGTAGCGAATAGAGATGATAGCCGGTTGAGTAACACGAGATGGGAAGCTGGCTGAATAGAGCACGGGTCTCTACACTGTAAAGTATCGGCGATACGTTCTATGCCACGTTGGCTAAATGACTCATCTGGTCAAGTGTCATCTGCGCAGTTTTCAAAGAGCGAAGAGCGAGAAAGATGCTTGCTCGTTTGGTTACCGAATTTGGTGATGATGTGGGAAAACTACGTCTCGTGAAGGAAACAGAGACGACATGTTTTGCGAGCTCATATATAAGAGCGAGCGCGCGTGTCGATAAGGAGGGAGATAAATAGTAGAGTATTTGAGAGAGTAGAGAGTAGACAGCATGATCTAATCGGTCGAGTATAGTTGTGCGGCTATAGTGATCTTGTGTTAGAAGCGCTATTGTTTTTAATTGGTTCGGAGAAAGAACCTTGCGCTTGAAATATTGCCAAAGTAATTATTATTGCGCGTAATTTCTGTCTTACTGTCTTATTCTTGAGCGTTTACAGCTTAAGTATAAACCTAGTGAATTCACCTGTGTAGTTTTGGTTTCCCAACTACAGTATGTAGATAACTGAGTATTGTAAATATATGTATGAACATGAATTATAGATGTAAGCCGTTTATACTAACCATTGGGTGAATTAATAACGTGTATTGTATATATATATATATTACTACGAAATTAGCTTATATGCGAATTTCTTACTTGCAACTCCAAAAATAATTGGCCAGTTTTTTGTTATTTGTTTTTTGTCTATCACATTGGCAAAGTTGGACGTCAGACATCAAACGCGGTGGGGTAAAGGACAGATTTCCAACAATTTTGGAAAAAATTGGTCAACTTTGGTCTGGTGGACAAAGTGAGTAAGATTTTGTCTCAGTGCTCAATTACCATTTTCATGAATTTATTGAAAGAACCATGAAATCTACTCTCAGTTCACATTTACGCACTAGATTTATTCACTATAATATATAATATATATATACATATATATATATATACATATATATATATACATATATATATATACATATATATATATTATATTATATATATATATATATATCGTAAAAACTATTTATTACGTAAATTATATTTCTAAGATTTATTATGTTCACACATTTGATAAAAGCTCGCATCAAATATAGCGGCGATATATCTCGATATAGAATTTGTTTTCTATATGAACATCCCGTCGAAAAAATGTTTAGACAAACATTTCAACCTTAGCACACAATGGAGCTGCAATCTAATTAAAACTGTGGAACAGCAGACTGATAGTGCGAAACACAAATATTGACGTAAAATTCACAAATAATCGTGTTTCATACACCATATGTAATTTTGAATCATAGCGGAATGACAACACAATAGAGTCTGATTTGCATATGTACACACGTGATTACCTACAACCACGGCTGCTCGCGGAAATTACTGCATTACTGTGGAAACAAATCAACATTAATCGACTGCGCCATGGAAACGAATCAACACCGAATAAACAGTGAAAATCGTTTCAAGAACACACACGAACTTTATAGCCATACGCTTGACGTAACCAATCAGACAGTAATGCGCGCATTCACACGCACGCACGCACGCAAACACGCACGCACGCACGCACGCAAACACGCATGCACGCACGCACGCAAACACGCATGCACGCACGCATACACACACGCCCTCTCCCATTCTCACTTTGATTTGTTCCTACAAATTAAGTGTGCGTGGAACGGGTGATACAGGCGCACCATTACATGCAGTACCGGCACGGAAACGATTACATGCTAGACTTAAGCTATTGAATGGTTTCAGGTAAAAACTGGGATTAATACGTAGAGACCTGGAATACAGCAAGTGTATTAGAATCCGAGAGTAAGATAGATCAAACAAAAACGACAGCGACGGAAAGTGACAGAGAAGGGGAAAGAACAAGAAAGGAAAGATCGAGTCAGCAAATGTTAGAAAAAGAGAGCGGGAGATCGAGGGAGAGGGAGAGATATCCACCAACACTATGCGCTGTGTATGTACAGCTCACCAAGACTTACTCTACTGGCTTCATTCACATGACCGAATACCCATTACACATCAATCATGTATTCGCATGGGTTAGTTTGGTTATTGTAAGGTAATGGCTTGCGTCGGAGAAATCGGCGAACATGACAAAGGGCCGAGTGGATCTTTGTATCACTCACTAGTGGCATGCGGTTATATAGCATTACCAGTATAGCAATACATTATTGATCACATGTGCCTCCTCGTGATTGAATGTTCAATCGATTATATTTCGTATTTCTATTCATCCAGATAAATGCCTCGTTTGCCGTCCATCTAAAATGGCGCACCTAGCCGGCCACACTGAAACGATTTCTCCGTATTTTTCGTTTACGTTCGACAAATTACAATCGACAATCGACAAAAGTACACGGCGGCCATTTAATTTCGCTGATCGCTTAATCGATTTTTTCTTAATGTGGTCATTACGACATAGAATTGTGGAATAGATCTGCGGTGCGTGTGGAATGCGCTACGTGGCTTCAATACCAAATTCACATCTTCATTTATTATACAAGAATCTATCTATACTATAATTTGACTAATCTTGTGTGTCAGTGTGTGTTTGTTTGATCTCGATGTGCTCCGTCATTTGTCACTCAATCGCGGTAACTAAAGATATATTCAGAATAACCACGTCTATGAGATGGTTCTGGCTGAGACAAAAATTTAAAAAAGTTAAAAAGTAAAAAAAATAATTTAAAAGTCAAAATTCTATCATCACGTACGTGGGAATTATTTCGCGTGTCTTGCCCGTCGCCGTAGCGTAGTCGGTAGGAGCTCGGTTTCATAACACGAGATTCCGGATTCGAATCTCAGCTGGAGAAAAAATTTTCTCCTTTACTTTTTTACTCTTTAGTATCTACTTCTGCCACTTCAGCGTTAATTTCAAAATGTAAAAAATAAATTTTTGCTACATTCATTAAAATTTAAAAAAAGTTGAAAGTAAATTTTAAAATTGCTATTTTTTTACTATTATTATTATCTACTACTATTATTATTTATTATTATTTTCATGTTCTTTATATTATTTATATTATTTTTTATTGTTTGGGATTGGATGGGATGGAATGGGATGGAGTCGACTGCGATGGGATCGGATCGGATCCCATAAGATGGCATCGGATGGGATGGGATGAGATGGGACAGAAGACGATGGAATGGGATGGGATGGCATGACATGGCATAGCATGGCATGACATGCGATGAATGGATGGATGGAGGGATGGCTGGCTGGATGGATGAATGGATGGATGGATGCATGCATGGATAGATACATAGATAGATAGATAGATAGATAGATAGATAGATTTTGCGGTATTTTCCTTTCAACCAAGTGGTCACCAACTGAGCTCTTTTTCCCCTGCTCACTTATAGAATTGCGCTCTTTGTTTCTTCCCAAAATGTTTTTTTGTTTCTGTTTTCTTTTCAGTTGCAACTTCAACTGTGTCACTTACATGAAGTTTATATTTTAAGGCACGATTTGGTCGTTCTACGGGTATTAGTCTGCTAGTATATATAAAGTTGTTCAGCCGAATTAGTTCGTACTCGCATAACTAGAGAGCTCCACAGCCTAGAGGAAAACTAAAGATATTTTCAGAATCAGCACGTCTGGGAGGTGGTTCTGGCTGAAACAAACATTTAAGAAAGTTAAAAAGGGAAAAATTGATAAAAATTCTATTCATCAATAGATGGCGGTGCGTACATATTAAAACATCACGTACGTGTAAATCCATGGTGTATACCCTTAACGGCGCAGTGGCATAATCGCTAGAACATCCGTATCCTACACCGGGATTCCGAGTTCGAGTCCCAGCTGGGGAAATTATTTTCCCTTTTTTAATTTTTTACTCTTTAATTTTAATTTTTTTTTCAATGTTTTTTATCTTTTGATTTCTTATTGTTGTTATTGTTTGGGATGGGATGGCATGGCATGGGATGGCATGGGATGGCATGCGATGGGATGGGATGGGATGGCATGGCATGGGATGGGATGGGATGCAGTGCGATGGAATGGGATGAGATGGGATGGGATGGCATGGCATGGGATGGCATGGCATGGGATGTCATGACATGGCATGGGATGGGGTGGGATGGGATATGGGATGGGATGGGATGGGATGGGATGCGGTGCGATGGGATGGGATGGCACGAAATGGGATGGATGGATGCATGGATGGATGCATGAATGGATGCATGGATAGATAGATAGTTAGATTTTTTTGGGTATTTTCCTTTCAACCAAGCGGTCACCAACTGAGTAACGCCACTGATTTCCCCGGGCAACGCCGGGTATCCCGCTAGTTAATTTATAAAGTAATTAGTTTCTGTCTTACTCTAGGCACACAACATGCGCGTGTGTATGCGTGTGGACGTGTATGGGCGTGCGTGTGGATGTATGTGCGCGTGCGTGCGTGCGTGTGTTCATGCGTGTTCGAGCGTGAAGCGACAGCACCCACTTTTAAAACGCACGCACGCATACACTATAGATTCCCACCACTCGCTGTGGCACTTAGTCTCCTGTTATAAATGAGCGGAGTGTTTTTTATACACGATAAATAGTGTTTCTTAAGTCTACGAAGTATTAATAAAACAGAAACCACATAAACGTGAACATTTGGAAGCACCTCCATAAAGATGCTTGGTAACGTCAGTAATGTCACGATGACAGATTAGAGTAATTTTTACAATTTATTCCTTTTCTCAAAGGTATAACATATAATTAGAATAAATTGCTACGTCAATTATTTTTTTACCAGACGGCAATAAGAGATGAGAATTCAAGAACAGGTACTGACATGACATATTCACGCAACTGTGGCCAAATAATGTCCTTTACTAATATGATATATTAAAGGATACCCAATCATAACTCGGTAACGTAACTGGACACGCATAAAGTGAAACCAAATTAAGGATCACCGTTCATACTAATACTACATGTGTGACTGAGTGTGGGAATAATTGCGTGTGAGTGCTACCTGTCCATGAGCGTGCGCGCGTACCTATTGTGACTGGGCGTACGTGACGTCTATATGAGTGTATGCATACCTGCCCGTAAGTGTAAGCGCGTACATATCGTTACTTAATTGCGCACCTGCTTATGAGTGAACATGCACACTAGGCGTGTAGGTGGACGCATTACGTATGAGTGCAATTAGGTATACGTGCCTGTGTCTGTGCGATTGTGTGTGCGCGTGTGTAATGAAAACATTAATAGAATACAATACTCTAATCCATATACTCATGTGTGTATGTGTGTGCTTGCGTGTGTGCACGAGTGCTTAATTGTCTGTCTGTGTTGGGGATGGGGTATACGCACTCATAAGTGCATGCGCGCGCTTGTGCATATGCGTGCAAGCGCATGTACGTGAATATACTACGTTTTTGCCTAGTGAAGCAATTTATGCATAATTCTCCACCGTCGTTACAAGTCTAAAGGTAAGACTTGCAGAAATATGCAAAAAAAAAGAATCTGATATGTGCAAATTGAATCGTGCACGTGTCATGGTCAACTTGCAGCATTGGTCTCCCTAGTTTTCCATTTTTAAGCAATTCCTATTTGTAAAAAGTATAAACCGGGGTGTAAAATTTTATCCTTTTAAACCCCACTTATTAGGAAAGCGTTTATTCTCATAGTATTGATATGGTATGTGTATATCTTGTGCTGAGATTACTTAATTCTTTTCATTTCCGACACTATGCTAGCACGTGATTTACTCATTTACGAAATATCTTCATTGACCATATATTACGTGGGAAGATAGTCGGCTTTAATACATTAACCCTGAAATAATCTTTTTGGCTAGTGAATCGTAATTGATCCGAATTTTATAATGAATGAAATTTACCTGTGGTATTTAATATGCTATCAACGATTAATTCCGAATAGGTACAAACTTCACATGCATATAACTGATAGAAACCACCATACGAGTGCATACTATGACTCATATAGGCTGGAAAAATCCACGCAATACACCATTAAGACGAGCTTCAAAAAGTCCGTGTCTATTAAAATACTGTCCTATCGTTATTATCGTTAGTGTCATTTGACCTACAAAATACGCACTAAAGAATGAACACAGTGTGTAGTTTTTTTACTCAGATATCACAGATACTGAACGCTGATCGTGGAGATTTCATTTGAACGCATAGTCATTATTTCGTGGATTGAAAACAACGACTAAAATGACATCACACTATCTGTGAATTCTATACCAGCATTCGGACATTTCGATTGACATTTTGACATCCACATTCAAGCGCTTGCTGCCTGAGTTCCTCATACCATAACTAGTCATATCACCTCACCCTCTCCTTTATCCTTCTTATATGCACATAACCTTACGATACTGTATATCTAGGATGTACACTAGTGATCACGATACGCGTTGAACATTAGCATATAACTAGCATGTGGAATCGAGAGGGAGAAAAAGAGACAGACAGGGAGACTGAGAGAGAAAGAGACAGAAAGAAAGAGGTAGGGTGAGAGAGGGGAGAAAGTGAGGGAGGATAGGGAGGAAGGCGGGAGGGAGCGAAGGAGGGAGGGGGAGAGAGGGAGGGAGGTATAAAGCAAAGGAGAGTGAGAGAGGGGAAGAGAAGGAGAGATTGGGGGGGCAGAGAGGCGGGTGCAGTGGGTAGGCTGCACCCCAAAAGCCTACACAGCCAATATGTTTGCAACACGTCAGCGTCTAACATAAGTACATATGTATGTAATGTATCTGTGCAGCATCCATCTCTTCATCTTGCATATTTACGACGTAGCATGCTAGTAGCGCTCATAGGGTGTATGCCCCCCAGGGTACTGCCGGAACGTACCCTGGGTACGGTTCGGTATACCGGAACGTACCCTGGTCACTATTTGATATGGTTAGGATAAGGGTTAAAGGGTTAGGGTTAGGATTAGGGTTAGGGTTAGGGTTAGGGTTAGGGAGTAGGCGTAGGCGACTCCCTAGACTCGTTAGTGGAGTAGGTGAGGTACGGTCCGGCATATTAGATAGTACCAGGGTACGTTCCGGTATACCGGACTGTACACAGGGTACGTTCCGGCAGTACCCCGGGGGACATAGACCCTCTCAACACTAGTAGCATCAAAGGTAACTTCCAATCTTCACGTCGCCACTAATTGCTAAATTCAATAACCATATCTGTTGTTGACAGAGTCTAATTATTTTCCACCTCAGTGCGTTATTGATTAGTGCATGTATTTGAATAAATCATACAGTAGTAGAAGGAATGGTCAGTTATAAACAGGCCAAAATACCTGGCATTCGCTGTATCCATACCTTATGGCGTTATGCAATGGAGTAAGCATGAAATTCAGTTACTCGGCTAGATATAACAACATTAGCTGGTTTGCATTAATGCTACCTGAAAATGCTTTAGTATCCAAACATAAATGCTGCCACGCTTGCTGGCCCTCCAACCAGGGGTGTAGCTACGGGGGGGGCCGTGGGGGCACGTGCCCCCCCCCACAAATTTGCTGTGCCCCCCCAGGTGCCCCCCCACTGAAAATTCATGCTTGATAAAAAAAAATTTGAATTCAAAGAAATGCCGTTAGAACAGTATAATACAATGAAAGAAGGTTCGAACCACATCTCAATAAAATTATATATTGTGCCCCCCACGAGAATGTAAGGCCCCCCAGTGCCCCCCCCCCCTCGCTGAAAAAATCCTAGCTACGCCACTGGCGCGCACACGCGCATATAGACGCGCACACACGCGCACACGCGCATATAGTCTATAGTGTAGTCTGCGTACTAGTGCTGAACTGGGAGGGGGGGGGGAGAATTACAATACTATCATAATGACCAATGTTACTGTCATAGTCTTATGCTAAACCTTCTATAACACATATAGTTTAACAGAGTGATTCCACATTTAGGCTCTATATGAAACTAGACCACTCGGAGAGCACAGACCTCCGCCAAGGCAGCTGAATTCTCTCACTGTGAAAATTTTTATTTATT